CTCTTGTTCTCATCCAGTTCAATGCTTGCTGGTGATTGAACAGAGAGAAAAAAGTCCTTCTTGCGCCGTTCCGTTGGCTCTAATTACAAAACCAAATAGCAGACAAGCTTACTGAACATCACACACCTAGGACCTGGAAGGCTGAAGCCAGCAAAAAGCACTGTGTGTCCAGGAGAGAAAGCAAAATCTGAAGGGCCTGGACCACACCCCACCCTCCTTGTTCACAAGTGTAACCCAAGACCTCGAAGGGAGCTGGCAATTTCTTAGGGCTCAGAATAACTCTTAAAGAGTAGGAGTATACCTCTCCATCACAAACTCCTGGAAAGTATGGTGACTGAACTATACATAGATAATCAACTTAGTACTATCCTCAGAGGGTTTTGTGGTTTTGTTTTGTTGTGTTTTGGTAACCAGTCTTTTTTTTTTTTTTTAAATCCTTAGCTAGCCTGTGCCCCACAAACATGCTCTTAGTACTACATCCTCAAGATCCTTATCTTTCTCTGAGCCTCATCACTAAAATGACAAAGTTTGATTAGATGATCTCAAATGCCACTTCCAGCTATAAAATTCCATGATGAGATTAATAAGTTAAAGGTGAATGCTTCTATTGATGGTTATAAATTCTGTTCTGTCCACATACGGGCTTAGAGTACATCCTATAATTTACATCTGACTGTACTTTACTGGAAACTAAAGTTCAAAGGGGAATTAGAACCACGAATGGTTTTTCCTAGCCTACTGTGTACACTACAGGCACAGAAATCATTCTTCTAGCAAGCATTCTACACCAACTAGGAAACGTTTATTAATATAACACGTTCCTTACCACAGTAAATCAGAGGGCTTTATTCAATGATTCGGAATTTGGTAGAGGCTATTCGCAGCTTCATGAAAAATCAATCACAAATAAAGATGTGTCATGGAAGCCAATGTGATGGGAATCTTTTAATGCTGATATTTCAGAACATTTTCACTACTGTTAATGTAAATAATTAATAATAAAATGAAAATTGATAATAAAAAAGCACCAAACTTAAATACTTTTCTAAGGACTTGCTTATTTAAACTAGCTTATAAAGCTGGATTAATATTTCCAATAAAAAATATTACCATGAGCTAGATCAAGGCAGTTGTCAAGAAAAATTTTAATGTATGAACCGAGGAATACAAAATAGTTTCCTATTAGGTTAAGTAGAGCATAATTAGAAAAATGGATTTGCAGGACTAAATATAACACACCCTAAAACCAAATGGAAACAATGCTGAGATCTCTAATGTTTAGGTTTTATTTATTCTTTTAGTTACATTATTGAACCACCAATACTGAAAAAGCAATTTAGTTTTTAAAAATCAGTTTTTCCAGAAAAGAAAAATCTAAATTTAATCTTTCTCTTGTTCATGCAATTTTCAAGAGAAGAGGGGAAAAATACTACATTATTTGGAGAATTACTACAAAATTTTAAAAGTGTGTGAATTTGGCAGCACGAGTTCTTTCTTTTCAAAGGCTGTGTCTATAGGATACAACCAGACACTGGCTTCAGACAAGCTTGTTTTACTAACCTCAAGAAGTTATAAGGAACATGCCACTTGAAAGAATCTCCTATTCTGGAAGGATACAGTAGATCAAAAGACTTTTTCCCTTCCTTACTAGCATCTATAATTAAAGACCTAATCCTTTAAGAAAAAAAAAAAGTCTCCTTTATTGAATTAGTTATTTTCTTTCCCCTTAAAACCCACAAGGTTAACATTATGTTTTGTAAGGAATTTCCATCTAATTGGCTGGGGTGACATTCTTAAACTTTGATGCACTTACAAATAGCAAAGCAGCATTCGTGCCTTGTGTACCCAGGTCCTGCCACTCCCTCCACCCACCACGGTGTCCAGTTCCTGAGTCCCTGCTGCCAGGGGGTGACGTGTAGGCCAAGCTGCAAGTACAGCACAGGAGGCAAAAAGGACAGCCTTATTGGCAGTTGGCAGTCTTGGGAAGGTGAGGGGCAAATTCACCAGTCCACAATGGGTCCACAGCTAGCAGTGGCCGCACAGTGGTAGCAGGCAGCAACTAATGCACCCAGGTTTCCTCCAAGGAGGGCCAGTTTAAGTTACACATTGGGGTCTGAGGGCACTCACCTGGGCAGCTGCAGTGCCCCACAGGTGTGGCAGTAGACACCAACGGAGACATTATCTTGGTAGACAATGATAACTGTTAGGTCAACATCTTTTTCCTTGAGGGCAAGTTCAAGACCAAGATAGAAGTGGTCCATTTCATGGGCCCCAAGGGCGTGGCCCTAGACCCGAATGGACACATCACTGTGGTTGACAGTCAAAGCATCTTCACCTTCCAGCCCAATTGCAAGCTGGTTGGCCAACGTGGGGACAGTGGGGCCACTGACGGCTGGGCTTCATCCTGTGGCTGTGAACAAGAATGAGATTGAGGTGACAGATTTCCATAACCACTCAGTGAAGGTGTTCAGTGCCAGCTGAGAGTTCCTCTTCAAGTTTGGCTCCCATGGCAAGGGCAACGGGCAGTTCAGAGCCCCCGCGGATATAGCTGTGGCCTCCAACGGGAACATCCTGTAGCTGACCGGGCAGCAGCCACATGCAGGTATCCAGCAGCTCTAACTTCTTCCTGTCCTACATCAACACGTCTGCAGAGCCAGTATAGGGCGCATAGGGCTTGGCATTGACCTCAGATGGCCATGCGGTGGTGGCTAATGCTGGTAGCCACCGCTTTAAGACCTATGCCAACTCCAGTAGCCGCACAGGGGCCTTGCCTGGCTCATAGAGGGTGGACATAGGGAGACTGCATAAGAGGGTCTTTAGACCTGGCAGCAATGAACGTGGATTTGGGTATACCCAGTGCCCTCCTGTTCCGCATATCCCAACCGCAGGGTTGCATCTTATTTGATTCTTGCTTTGCTGACTGGGCGGGCACGGACTATGGTCCCAAGGATGATACAGAACTTCGCCATGCCCCGCCTCCCAAACCTCTTGTCCCCTCAGTCTGCCTCCCACTGGGAACAATACAGTCTCTTACTCCAGGGCAGAAGCCCCTCTGGTTGTCTCCCTATCACCCCAAACACAGTGAGAGAGGCAGCAATAACCCTTCCTCCCATATCAAATAAACACCTTCACACAAAAAAGGTGCCAAATGCAAGACACATCTCACATTTAGAATTACTTCATCAAAAATTTGTCAGGGGCCTTCACTAAGGAATTTCCTGATGGCTTTCTGGTACATGCGTTTATTTGTAAAAAAAACTATGCGGATCATTGCCTAAGTTTATTCTTAGGCAAACTCTATGTTCTAAAGATCTATAAGAAAACCACAGATAAGAGAAAAAAAATCCAGAGCCCAGTGGAAAAAATAAGCACTTCTTGGTTTATGATTGCCAGAGTGAGAACACTTTGGGTTATTCCTTAACTATAATTGATGCTACCATCTCGGAATCCCACCCACTGCGAGGGTCAAAGATTGCTGTTGTACAGGAAGGGTAGTCTCTGTTAATTCCTTTCCTTCATTTAAAATAAACTCTGAATAGACATCTGGCAAGTAGGGCTTGTGATATTGGAAAGAAAAATGTTTTTTAGCTGGCAGCTCTAAACATACTTAGCTGAAGGCCGATAAGGGCCTATGGATCGTTTCCAACCAGTTTTTTTGTTTTTTTTTTTTTCTACTTTAAATGAAATGTAATTCACTTTATTTTAGAAAGATGAAAAAGATTCACTTGTGCTGGAATTTGAACCTATCATTCTTCAGAAGTCTAGATTTTCGCACTAGATCATTCAGGGTTCAAAAATCTTTAAAACAGATGAGCGTTTTCCCACAAATCAAAATCTGTGTCCACATTTGACGTCTTTATTATTTTTTGAAATGGATTTTGTTCAAACCAGATCTTGGTATCACTGAATGGTAAGAAAGAGTATGCAGAAGCAACACGATAGAAGGTCATTTGCCTTCCGCCAAAAATGTCCTAATGGCTTAGTCGGTTAAGAGTATTACAAAGACAGGGCTAAGATCGAAGTTTTAATCTTCTTAATGACCTGTTTGTTTTGCTTAGCTCTGTTCCATGTGGGCCATAATCCCCTCTCTCAAAGTTTTGTTTCTAAATAAAGGAGGACCAGGTAACAAGGCATAAGCAAAACGAACACCAAACATAGGAAACTACGACAGGTACTGCTGCCAGTGGCAAAGGAGCATGTTTACAAACATGGAACTTACAGGCACTTCATTTGGTCTTTTCATTCATTCTTTCTGGGTGGGAGGTGCTGACATCACAGAAAGAAACCAGATGTAGCTCCGCCAAGAAGGAGCTCAGTAAGTAAAGAACAGCAGCAATTATCATGCAAGTCCGATTAATAGGTGTGTGCAACGAGGCTCCGAGGTCGGATGGCTCTTCAGGGTGGCACAAGCCAAAGGATGGAGTGAATGTCACTTTGAACAACTCCAATAGGTAGTGGTCCAATAGAGTTAATGCAATTTGAAGGACCAGCATGAGCCACTTAACACATTATTCTTGAGTTTAAAAAAGTGGAAGGGCTGAGCAATAGGCATTGGGGAATCTCTACTGTATTCAATAGTAAGACCTTACTGCTCATTTTTATTGTCAAAAGAAAACAACAGATCCCTGGCCCTATGAGCAAACAGTAAGGAAAGCTTTAGAATTTTAAGTCTTATGACAGGACTTTTCCGTGTAAGACATAAAGGAGATGCGGTTTAAACGAACCAAGTATACTATTCAAGTTTCAAGTTGTGGATTTATACAAGGGAAAAATGTGATGAAACTTCTTCTACCATACAACCTCTGCAAAGTCATGGTCCCCATAAAAAATAAATTAATTATTTAAAGTGAGCATGTTAGGATATTTAAAGCTGCTTCTAAAATCTCTTCAAATACAAGCTGGTCCAATAAAGCAAAGCTTTGTACGTCAGTGAGACGCCATCGCCACCTTGCGTTTAACAGGCTTCATTGCACTCACATTAATGCAAAGATCACGAGGGATTCAACAGTTACAGAATATAGCTTTATTTATAGATTCTTACAAATAAAACATTTAAAGTCCATATAACTTAAGTTATTTTCTTTTCTAATTTATCCTCATATCTCCTGAGTTATTTTTAAAAACACTGTGATGGAACTGCAGAACTGTAAAAGGAAATATGAACAATAAAAACCTAACCTCTTGCAAAAATCAGACAACTTTTCATTATTTAAGCAGATTTCCGGCATACGACCATCTCTTTGGAAAAGGACTTACTAAAAACAAGTCTTAGGATACCCAAACAGGGAAGCTTTCTTTTTTTAAACCCAGGGTGAAGGACCAATATAGGAAAGCCCCAAGTTGAAACTAGGCACAAAAGACCTTTGGGGGCAAAGATGAAAGGCAACCTGCAAGCCAGGGTGAGGGCGAGAAGCAGCAGAACCCTTGTTCCTGGTTCATGACACAGAATTTTCCAGCACATGACACAGAATTTTCTCATTATTGTTAATAAGAGCTGGTCCATTAGGGGAAAGAGGGGTGAAGAAGTCCTCAAAACTCGCTATTCCTCAGATTTCTAATATGCACGAATGCTTAAAACAGCGAATCTAACTCTTAAAAGTCCAAAAGAAATGGTCACATTTTCAACTCATGAGCCAATGGCAACATCACATCAGTTGCACGATTTGAGTGTTTCTAACCTCCTAAGCCCAGCCAGCACTGGCCTCTGCACTAGTTTAAAGAGAATTTCCCTTTGAGGCAGCTGTCTATGAAAGGAAGGTTCTTAATACTGACGTGCAGTGCAGGAAAGGGAAAAGCACCCTACTACTTCATATTTTATTTTTTAATTTGTTAAAGATTACATTTTTGAGTTCTTCTAAATCTAGAAACCCACTAACTCTAATAGTATTTTACTCCAAGAATAATGGTATTCGTAAGGAATGACGGATCTACAGGGAATGCTAAAATTATAAATTTAATACATCAATGTGAATTAAGGAAAGCAAAATCTTCTAAAGTCTTGAAGTTTGAGTGTTATTTTCTGCTAGCTCCTGAAAGCAATTTGGGAAAAATAAAACAGAAAAGACAGAACTGTTTTAAAACAGTAACAATAAAAATAATAATATAATAAAAAGTTAGATTCCAACATTCAAGGAATTGGTTCTTTGGTAAAACTGGACCATAATCCTATCAGGAGTCAGTCCTGATATTTAATCTAGATTCTTGAAAACTATTTTCCTCCTTCAGCCCATTCATTCTCAAATCTATCAAAGTCGACAGGCAAGGGAAGGAGAATTTATAAAGCATCATCAGCAGTTTTCCTGCTCATGTTCTTTTCAAGAATATTCCTGGTTTCAGGGATGCTTCCCAAGAAGAAGAAGAAGAAGAAAAAGAAGAAGAAGAAGAAAAAAAACAAAATAGAGGCTGCTTTTTAATTACTGTATAGTGGAAAGTTTTTCTGGGTAAGAAGAGAAAAACACACAGGTGTTGGCAATGAACCAGCACTCGTCAGTCATGCACACAAATCAGTTTGCCAATACAGCCCCTGGGCTGCAACTGTGGGCACCACTAAGAAAGGCTTCTGGAGAGACTGGCTCCCCAAAGTGGCTAAAGAATCTTGCATTATCAATATGATAATAATAAGTCAATTCACCTAGTGAACCTGGAGATTAGCTCCCCTCTGAGCCAGAGTTCCAAGGAGAGGGCTCCACAGTGCCTGAGGCCAGCCTACAGTCTCACAGCCAAACCTATCAATCCATTCTCTGAGCAGAGTTAGAGCAGTTAATATTCAATGCAATACAGGATTCGCCCTTTCTTGTTTGGGGTAAAGGAAGAAGGTGGTAACCTAGACAGCGCTGTCTTTAAACCCACTCACAGCATAATCAGCAGGACCTCTGTTCTGCATCTTCAGAGCTCAACCCAAGTTCTGGACCTTACGTCTCAGAGTTCTATTATTCAGACTTTTACTTAGGCAACCAGCAAATCCTGAGTGTTGCCTGCACTGATTCCTTTTCTGATTACCCTTGTCAAAAAGAGCACGAGTTGCACTCTGGTTCCACAAGTCGACTTGCCACTTTGCAGCAGACCTGTTGGCCAGGGGAGGTAAATTTGTGCAGTCTCCCCTCTGATATCGGCATCGTCAATGTGCTCAGAATGTGCTTCTAGCAAGGCAGCTATAAAGTCTCAGAAGATGGGAGTGGGGAAGGGGGGGTGGAAAGCACAGCCAAACCAGTTGATTTTCTGCAGGTCGTCCTTCTCTGCCCTCCATTCTTGTTAGTGTTAATTCGGAAGGAAGAGGAAGTCCAGACTACTGAACCTACATGCTAGCCGGCTCTCCCGGACGGCCGGGAAACACCAGGTGCGGGCACGAGAAACCGCCAGGACAGGAAACACGCCATCGGCTCTACTTCCCCTCTTTCAGGATGATCTCGCCTCCTCTCTCGCCCTACTCATCTGTTCCGACTTTCAGTTCCCTTTGAGAGAAGAGGCAACTGAACAGACTGAAAAAATAGGAGGGAGCCTGTCTCCTGTACCTGTTCTCTAAAAACTAGGTGAATCCGCTTAAAAATGGTTCATCTCGAGGTCCAGGATACACATTTAGATTCATGGGCCCTAAACTATAGATTTACCTCCTGATAGTTCTAACTGGGCTATGACTGCTGACTTTATTTTCGCATTGTGGGGCAAAGGAATCGAAATCTCTCAGCACTGGTTCAAAGAGGAAGAGGCCAGGGTAACCGGAGGAAAAAGTTGAACTTGTCTTCTAAGCTGCATTCGGGTCTCAGAGTCGATCTGAGAAGGAGGGAGAGGAGAGGGAGAGGTGCTGCCTGGAGACCGTTGCCAGGGCAGCTTATTACTAGGAGAGAGCATTTTCAAAACAGCTGACATTTAAGTGCAGAAATACAGTCCGTGTCACAGTTTTTAGTATAAATGACTTGCTCGAGGCACTCCGCGGATGACGAGTCCTCGGGCCAGGGATCAGGCGGCCAAGGGCCCGATTTGCGACCGCGCAGGCTCCTGTGGGGCTGTCCCTACCCGATCTGGATCTGCCCCGAATACATGGTGAGGACCAGCATGATGGTGAAGCCAGTCAAGAGGCCCAGGTTCTGGATGATAAAAGGGACGAAGGTGCTGCCCTTGCTTTCATCCTCCTGGGAGACTTCATTCATCTCAGGGAACTGAGGAAGAAGAGAAAAAGTGAGAGAGCTGCAGTTCCTCTCCTAACCGTGTCAGCCCAGGAGAATTCAGTGCAATGTAGATGCTACATCGAATAACTGCTATCGCATTTATTATATTAACATTTATATTAAAATGGTAACGTAATTAGTCTACAACATATGACTATTACGATAGTTAATATTATTACTGGGGTGAGAATTACATAATAAATAATTAAGAGAGATATATATATGTATGTGTGTATATATATGTGTGTATGTTTATGTGTGTGTGTGTGTATATATCTATATCTATATCTATATCTATATCTATATCTATATCTATATCTATATCTATCTATCTATCTATCTATCTATCTATCTATCTATCTATCTATCTATCTTTTTTTATATATATATATAAATTGGTTTACAAAGAAAATTAACAGCAACAGCCTCTAGAACTTGATTAGAGCCTTTCTTTAATCAAGGTGGTCACCACTACAGCTGAGCCCTGAACGACAAGGGGGTTAGGGGTGCTGACCCCTGCGCAGTCAAAAATGCACGTGCAACTTCTGACTCCCCCAAAACTTAGCTGTCCCTCAGGATCCATGCGGAACTGGTTCCAGGACCCAGCCGTGGATACCAAAATCCACAGGTGCTCAGGTTCCCCATACAAAATGGTTTAGGTCAATGCATTCGGTAGGCCCTCTGCATCCGTGGATTGAAAACAGTAAAGGTGTTTACTGAAAAAAAAAAAATCCACAGACATGTAGACCTATGGAGTTAAAACCCTTGCTGTCGAAGGGTCAACTGGACGTCACAACTACTGAGGTAAAGCAAAGTGCTGTACGTGCACGCAGCCCTGGATGTGTTTAGATGCTGGCTAAAAATAACCACTTTGACAAAAATAAACTTTTTATTGGAATCCTTAAAAACACTTAAAAAGATACTTCTGCTACCAAAATGTTACTGTGACGTCTTTGGGAAATTGAGCAACTGTGTTAAGGGGCCGGAGATCAGAGCTATAACTCAAGGCCTTTCGCTGCTCGCCAGCAGGGCAGGTGACAGTAAGGAGACCTTCCAATTCCAGTACTGCAAGAAGGTATCCTACCCACTGGGAGGGCTCCCCACCACAGACTCTAAAATGTTCCCATGGGTGAGGCTGGACCTTGGTCTACTGTCATCATCTCATCAAAAATATGATTTTCAAAGGCTACAGAAAATAATTCATGTAAACATACCAAAGAACATGTCATGCCAACAAACGAGGTTACTTATACAAAAGACATGACAAATCAGGTATTTCACAAGCAAACTCAAGATCGATTAAATGGTTACATCAAATGTTAGCGGGTCCAGTACAATGTATACCTCCAGCCACTGGTGATAATGCTTTCCACTGATCTATACTTATTCTATAAAACTTAAGTATTTAAAAGTAAGGACCCTGGAACTGAATTTAGTAATCATTTTCTTTGATGACATACGCTAATAGGAACGTAAGCTTTTCATTCTTTAAAATCTAATGTCCCCTTAAAAATCACCAAATTATACACCTGAAGTAGGTGAATCGTGCGGTATGTGAATGATTCCTCAATAAAGCTGTTTATCAAAAACAAACTAATGTCTCCTTAGCTGTCCTCCCGTCCAGTGACTTTAATAACCTGGTCTAGTTCGTCTACATGGCATAAACTACGGAACACTTACCATATCGGCCAGGGAAATATACAAGAACATTCCTCCAGCCAGCGCGAAGATCCAGTTGGCAGAGAAGTGGCTGCCGGCCAGGATGCCAAAGCCCAGACCCACGTAGCAGCAGCAGGCGGAAAGGAAGTTGAAGAAGAGCGCTTGCTGGAGGCTCATGCCAGCATTGAGCAGGATGACAAAGTCTCCTACAGCGGCAGAGAGAACAGAGGGGAGGGTGTGGGCGGAAGAGTCACGCTAGGTCATGGGACAGAGAGCACGATGAGGACAGACTGCTTAAACTGGATAAAGTCTGCGTGAAAATCAAGACCACCCCAGATGTGAGATCGCAGTGACAAGACCAAGGCACCCTTCATCTTCACGTCCAGGAGCTGTGACTGTTTGCAAACCTGGCCACGTACGTCTAGCCGAGAGGCGACAAATAATATAAAATAGACAACCAGCAGGCAATGGTGTCATTTCTCTTCTGACTGACGGCGAAATGGGAGGAGCTTCCTTCCTCGTAACCATAATAAATTGTATTTTTAGGAAACAAAACTGAGACTGAGAGAAGTTAAGCAATTTGCCCAAAGCCACAAGCCAATAAATGGCAAAGCCAGGACGTGACCTTGAGTCTCTGAGCCTCCAAAGTCTAAGCTTTTCACACTCCCTCCAAAAAAACTAAAGGCCTCCCAACAACCCGTGGCTCCTCCACTTCTCCCGCCCAGCAGACCTCTAACATGCACCTCGGCCTCTGGGAGGTTAGTAAGATACGAGAAGACTTATGTTGAGCACTTAGGACAGTGTTTGGGACACAGGCAGTCCCTTTTACTATTCTCCTCCCTTCTACCCTCATGACATATCTACGAGGCAGGTCCTGTTGTCAACCCCATTGTACAGGTGAGGAAATCGAGCCACAGGAGATGGAGGTGAGGGAAGACAGATATCCCTGTAAAAACCTCCATCATTTTCGATGATCGATTTTCAATTCATTTAACTAAAACATTAGTGGTTAGATTTCACATCGCATAGAGAATGTATGTATTCATTATGATAAGTGTTTTGAAGTGGGGGGAGGGGTCAGCTACATGAAGGCTGCTGGTGCCAGAAACCCAGGCAACGGAGTGGAACGGGGTTGCGGGGGACGTGCGCACTCACCCAGCTCGTGTGGGAACTCCTCACAGAGGATGGCCACCGAGGTGCTGATGCCTTGGAAGACAGACACAGTGAAGGAGGCCCCAATGGCCAGGCCGTCGATGAAATTGTGGAGGCCATCGCTCAGGGTGATCATCCAGGCCAGAGTGCCGATATCCGAGTAGCGGACGCCTTTCAGCCAGTAGCAGGCACTTTGGGAAGCCTGCAGGTCCTAGAAGAAATCCCAACCCCACGGCCCCCTGATCAGAGCGGGGACAATTGACCTGCAAGGTAGGCCTGAGTCATCGAGGCCATTACCGCTTACAGGCCCCCAACCCAGCAGCGGGTGGCCCACAGACCTGGACAGAGAGTGAGCCCACGATGACCTTTCCGTCCATCACGGAGGCCTTGCCGTCCAGCTCGCCGCTGCAGTGCTGAGGGATCATGTGGTCCAGGTCCCCATTCTGTAGCTTCTCCGTCACCCCCTCCTCCTGGTCCTTCCTGGATGGAAGCGTCTCGGAGGTATAATGGCTATGTCCGTGATGATGCTGGAGGGACCACAGGGAGCACTCAGCGTGACACTCACCAAGCCATGAGGCCTCCTGAGTGTCCAATCTAAGCTGGGGCCCCAACTCTGGGAAGGCCCCGTTCCCACTCCCAGAACAAACGCAGCCCGATGACACACGCAGAAACAGAGGGCCAGGTGCCAGAGAGCCGAACCAAGGTGAATGTGAGGGCCTGGCTCAGGGGGGATCGGGGGAGTGGATACTGCAGCGGTGGCCGCAGGATCCACACGCGCTCCAGCAAGGTGGCACCGCTCAAAATACTTAGAGCTCCTCTTTTGCAATAGCTAATTGTAGTCGATTCGGCAACTGTTTTGGGGATAACTACACACCAGGCACTAAAGGCGTCTTTCTGGAACTATGCTACAACAATCAGCCCTATTTCTTTGCGGTCACACTTCATACACAGTGCATGTCCAGCCCCTTCTTTGTGTCCTAAAGGCATAAAAGTATGTTAAAGAAATAAAAGAGGGGATAAATTACTGCCTAGTAAAAGGCAGCACAGGCCAGAGACCAGGTTTCTGGTCCGCCCTTGCCCCCTGCTGGTGTCCTCATGAGGCGAAATGGGGTGTCTACTCATGAAATGGGTGGGCTTCACCCCTCCCAAGCCCACTGTAAGGGTGCCGAGGTGACATCACCGCTGCAACACACAAGCGTTTCAGAGACAGAAGCTTTCCCCAGAAGTACCTCCTTTACCAACAACTGGGCCTCACCTCATTTTTCTGCTTAAGGAGCATCTTTAAGATCTTCTCTGTGAAAAAGAAAAGATAGAAGCCCCCAAACACCACTGCGGACTTGGAGACGTAATAATCCTCCAGGGGGTTGAAACCAAAAGCCTGTGGACCCAGGAAAAGAAAGTGAGTTTAAGAAAAAGAAAAAAATCGCCCCCGGTCCCCTCTCATCGCTTAACCACTTCCTTGATTGTATGAAGGAGAGCGACGTGCCCACTGGGGTAACTGCCATCTACCCGCTCCCGCGAAAGCCAACCCCTGATGCTTCCCGAACGTCCCCTCGCTAGCTTATTTTCTGATGCAAAAGACAGATCGTCTTGAGAACTGGACTGTCAGGAAAAACAGCCTGGATGTGGTTTTCTACTTTTTAATGAGGATCGTCTCCACTTCTCTTGGTGCTTTGCTACAAGGGCAGACTCTTCTGGCACGCTCGACATTTAAAGAGAAGACGCTGTGTTTATTTTCATTGTTATCGTATGTCCCTGGCCGATCTGCCTGTCAGCACTAAGGGAGGCGGTGTAATTACACTTTCCAAAATGGGAAATCCACTCCTCGGTTAAATACTAGGAACTGCAGCGTCTCCCTGACCGCAGACCTCCGGTGTCCACAAAGCCCAGGAAGCAGACCGTGTAACTGCATGTGTCAATCGTGGGGGTTTTGTTCCGAGTTCTTTTTGGAAACTCTTATTATGGGGGAAAAAAGAAGAATCTGCTGGAAAGTAGACAGTAGAAATCAGGAGAATTCCACTTTCGGGGATGCTCCTGACTTGTGGGGGGCCTTGGGAGTGCCTGGTGACCTGCTCCTCAGTTTTCTTACAGGAAACTGCCCTCTCGAATGAAACCTAGCCTTCTCAAGAATAAGGCCCAAGATAAAAGCGATTATAAGTCCCAAGAACTCTGGGCTGTTTAAAAGGTCAGTTTTTCCTTCCTGTTTTAAAGGGACAAAATGCAACCTCTACCTACTAGTGTAGTTTTCTAAGAGACATAAAGATCAAATTCTAGAGTAGAAATAACACATTCAGGTCGACTTTCCAGGACAGTCGAATCATCTCAGGGAAAAAGTGGAATGAGAACAGGCGACGAACTGTTCTCCACCAGAAGCCGTGACGGATGGGCACGGGGCAAGGGCACGGCTTCCGAAATTATAAACTTGGCCTCTGGGATATGGGCTCTTGTGACCATATCTATTAGACAGGTAAAACAGTACTTATTCTCTAGCTGTCACTCAGTGGAGCTCAAAGTCAACTCAGGAAACGCAGAACCACTTCTGGGAACATTAAGTGCTATAAGCAGCATGTGAAGTCATCTTTTCACTTCAGCTATGGCTCTGTTGAGGCCTGTCAGACCACCTAGGGTGCAATGCTTCGTGCTTACTGTCACTGGCAGTCTACTGCAGAGATTACACCAAATCAGATAAAACTCCGCCAGGGCCGCCCGCCAAAAGTCATCAAGACTGAGCTCTCTCCTCTTTTGTGGACTATTTTATTTTAATCACCTTTGCCCCCAAACGCCCTACTGGGGAGAACTGATCTTTTTATTGACCTATGAATTCTGTTGACGTGGTTTTTGTGTGTATGTGCCAAAAGCCCGAAATTGGGAGCTATAAGTAATCTTCTCACCAACGGTTAGAGAGCGCGTCCTAGGCACCGGGCATTTCACAGATACTCACATAACCCTCGCAACATCGTCATGAGGTTAGGCCTATTACCTCCTCCATTTTACATTAGAGGAAACAAAAGCACAGAGAGGTTAAGTGACTTGCCTAAGGTCACACAGCTTGTCAGTGATGGAGCTGGGGTTTGAACTCAGCTTGCAAACCTGTGCTATGCTGCCTCTCCTCTGCTAGCTCCGCCTAAGCCTTAGCTTCACTTTCCGAAAGGAAAGGACCGTTTTCTGCTTTCCATCGAAGTGGAAGGCCCTCCCGCGGTGCCCGCTGTCCCCAGGAGGCCGTGTGCTCCTGAGTGAGGGGCCCGGGCTTGCCATACCTCGGGGATGAGCTGGAAGAGGGCGTTGGAGTAGAGGGTGCCAATCGCCAGAGCTATGAAGTAGAGTAGCAGCCTCTTGTAAAAGGTCTTCTTCATGAAGGGCACCACGCTGGCCCCCAAGAGGGAGCAGAGGGAGATGACGGTCACGCAGAGGAGACCATATCCCCACACTGCCGTTGGCAGGGGGCCAGCCCCACCCAGCACAGGGAGAAGGGCGAGCGTCCCAGAGCACAGCAACCACCATTTAGGGGGAAGAAGGTGCAGGGCATGGGGAGGCAACAGGGAAGGTTTCGGTGGACATTAACAAAAGCAACAAAAAGGAAAAATCAGAGACAAGTAGGGAGGGAGAGAGAAATAGAAAATTTGTTAGTGATTCAAATCTGATGTAATTTCTTTCAACCAGTTCAGAAGAAATGAAGAGGAATTCGCGGTGGCCTTGGAACTCTGTGGCCCCCAACCCTGCTGCCTTTGGTGGCCCGAGTCGCACCTCTAAGCTGGTTGAGACTGGCGGGGCGGGCGAGACCTCGTCACACCGCCGAGGTGTGTGCTGTGCAGCTCTAGCAGAGGCTGCCAGGGCAGACTTTGGACCCAAGGGCTGTCTGTCTTTAACAGGAAACAAGAGCAGCTGAAAAGGGACTGATCACTGTGCTGCTGCGCCTGCTTTGCGTGCCCGACCCGTACCGCGCAGGCACATGGGGCACGACCTGGTCTGGCCTGTGCAAGACACAACAAAGTCGGGTGCGCAGGGCAAAGGGATGGAGAACAGTAAGGCCTGACGCCCAGGAAATCCACACTTGACTTCTCAGGGTTGGGTTTGTTTTTTTTTTTTTCCCCATTTGCTTTGAGAGGGCTCAATGTAGAGAACAGAGTTCCAAGGTCACCCTGACACAGAAAATATTTCCTCCACCATTTCCCAGTGTCACTACCCTGGTCAGGACAAAACGGAGCCAGGGTGAGGCACTCCCCTGTGGGCCACAGGGCTGAAGTGTGTTCAATTATTGTATTTCGATCCAACAGGCAACAAGGCATTTCATTTACCTTAATTATTTAAAAATTAATAAATTCAATTTTTGGAGCTAAAAAAAGAAAAAAAAAAATAGCCCAAGATGAGGCCTCCCTGAGAAGTGCTTGCTAGATTCTTGTGAAACTGTGAGACATCGAGATGGTTCATCTTAAACCAGATTTCTCCTCACTGTTAAGAACGAACAGGCAGGGCCTGGGCAGCGCGCATCTGGTATGTCTGCTGGGTGAGAGTCTTTTGACTGGGAAGGCTGGGTGGCTGCGGACACGGGCTCTTTATGAAAGGCAGTCGCCACCATTCCCAAGGGTGGTCCTCACATAATCACCTAATCACCTAATCACCTCCCCTGCATGCCCCTGCCTGAGCTGACAAAGGGGGCACTGTCAACTCGGGCCTTTTTTTTTTTTTTTTTAGCTCCTCGGTGGTCACAATTAAAAAACAAAATTAACAAACATTTCCAAACAGTCAAGCCAGGGCACCAGGAAGTCAGTCTTCTCAGGAAAAAGTCAAGATGCAAGGCATGAAGGACGGAGTGCCTCTTTCCTTCATCTTGTAATTTTAATTTCCTTTGTTGTTGTTAAGTCTTTGCTCTGTGTTTGGCCCTTTCTGCTTCCAACTATGGCCTGCTTAAAGATAAAATAGGATCGCTCACCTTTTTAAGCCAATTCTATTTGTCAGTTGGTAACTTCTTTTCCTTCTGCCTCATTCCAGATGGAAAATCTCTTGGTGGCCACCCCTGAGCACTGAGAGGGCCTCTACTTAGAACACAGGGGTACGAAACACCAAGGGCAAGGCAGAGACCTCCGGCTAACGCTTTCCTTTTGAGGCCTGAGAGCTGGGCTCAGGAAAGGCACTGAGGCAGAGAGGCTGACGCACCCCTGACCAAAGGGCCAGTGCCAACGGCCTTGCACCTGACATCACCTGAGGGGACCAGAGGCGAACCTGGGTGCCCAGGAGTGAGAGGAGGCTCTCGAGATCCAGAGTCAGAAGTCATTTGTGTCCCTTGATATGAGGGAGAAGAAGTTAATTTGTCAGGCGGCAGTCGGCGGGTGCCTTAGAGCACAGGGCAGGACCGGAAGCGGGGACGTCGGCAGGGGGGAGGCTCAGCTGTGGACGCCTCGGGGGAAAGAAGACGCGCGTGTGTGTCTGATCTACTGCACCTCTGGGATGAGCTGGAAGAGCGCGTTAGAGAGCAGCGTTCCAATGGACAGGGCGATGAAGTAAGTGAGCACACGGCTGAAAAACGCTTTCTCCGAGCACGGCAGGACGAGGACTCCCAGGAGCGAGGCCAGGTTAATCAGTGACACACTGAGGAAACCAAAGCCCCACACTGTGGAGGAACAAAAACAGACGAGGGCCTCTGTTACTGAGGGTGGAGCGCTCCCGCTGCCTGGAATTACAGAGATCCACTTTGAGATGGAGGCAGGTAAAAACAACACGGAAGGTTAAGAGTTAAAGAATGACGGCAAGAAACGAGGCATGACGCGGGTGGCACATGCCAGGCACCAAGTGTTGGTAGCTCACGCTGGTGCGACAGCACTTCGGAAGGGCGATCCGGGCCCGAGGGATCCGTGTACACGCACGGACCATCGTGCGAGTTGACTGTGGCTGGAGCAGAGGTCCGGGAAGACGGGGGAAGTGGGCCGAGGGCGACCCCGTGAAGTCTTAAATGCTAAACCGAAAGACCAAGGCGTCGGCCCCCTGTAG